CACACATCTTCGTCAATCTGCCGACACTTCTCTAACTAATTCTCTCACATTGTCGCACAACGTTGCATTCAAATATGCGCGCATTATTATAAAGCAGTGTGCAGCAAGCATGGGTGAAGTAGCTGTCATTTGGTGAGTACACTGTGTCTTTCCCCAGTTTTATGTACTTCATTGTTTTTTCTATTCAATACTATTTTACTTTTGTACATTGCACATGGCGGCAGAATTCAACTGTCTTGATTGATCTACGTTCGTTATGCACACGACCGGTTCCTGACTGAGTATTTGGACATCCATATCGTGACTGTGCAATGCAACAAGTACGTACAAATCAAACTGAGGAGGAGCGTGCCGCAACGAATGAAGGAGTCAGATGAAGACGTGCTCAGATACGTGCCCAGTCATCTGCACAGCAACTTGGAGTCACAGTTGAGGATGCACACTTGCTTGCACAGCCATCACATTCTGCAGCTTCAGATCTGCTTCCTTCTCAACAGACTCAACGCAACAGGCTGACACACGTCAACGACTGGCAGCAGACTAGCATCAACCACAGTCCCATGCTAAGCAATAAGGCATTTACAATTCTCTTGCATTCCGATACAACCCAGCTGATAATTATAGTTTGAACCAGCATGTTCTCATCGGCACTATGACTTGCCTGTGTCTTCATTGCAAGGCTCTAAGATTTCCTGGAGAAACTTCAGGAATGTGTTGCTCTGCCGGGAAAGTTAAACTCCCTCAGCTTGCAGAGCCGCCAGAGCCTTTAACTACTTTGCTTGCCGGACATACCGCTGAATCAAAGCATTTCCTATCTAACATCAGGAAGTACAACTTATGCTTCCAAATGACGTCATTCGGCGCTGAGATTGTTGCAGCTCCTTTTATGCCAACTTTCAAAGTTAAAGGACAGATCTATCATACAGCCGGCTAACTGCTTCCTATCCAAGATGGTCAACATAAATTTCTCCAAATGTATTTTATCGGTGATGGCAATGGGTGAATAAAATGCTCGCTGCAGCATTTCTACCGGCATACGACAGTCCATCGTCTCCAGACTACAAGAACTTCTTTACCATAAAAACCATTTGGTGCGTTTATTCAAAATAGCACTTGACATGATGCCATCTGATACACACAAGATTATCATTCATGCTGACAAAACTCCTGCTGGAGAACATGTCCGCAGATTCAATGCCCCCAGTTATAGACGAGGTCGCAATTGTTATAGTTGAAGATCACTTCCAACCTAGAGATATTGTTCTCCATCGCAGAAACAATTGACAAGGGTTGCAGAAACTCATCGCTGTTACAATGCTCTGCAATATCCAATTATGTTTTGGGATGGTGTCGATGAATATCACTTCAACGTGAAGATGATAAGTCCAGTCAATGGCAAGTATACAAATATGAAATGCAGTGCAATGAAGTTTTATTCATACCGATTAATGATACGAGAGAATGCGGACAATCACATTTTGAGGTACCGTCAATTGTTTCACCAATACGTCATTGATATGTATGCAAAGATTGAGACTGAACGTTTGCTATTCATCCGTTTGAGTCAGACCAAGCTTCGCTGTGAGGATTACATTCATTTGCAAGATGCAGTTCTACATGATGGTAACGTAACTAACATTGGAAGACTAACAATTTTGCCTCTTCATATACAGGCAGTCCACGTCATCTGCATGAGTACGCACAAGATGCACTTGCATATGTTCGCTTCTATGCTGACCTATTCATTACATTCACATGCAATCCAGCTTGGGCCGATATACATTAGATATTACTTCCTGGACAGTCGCCAGTGGATAGGCATGACATCACAGCACGTGTTTTCAGACAGAAACTGAAGTCACTTATGGCTTTTATTGTAAAACGTGAAGTTTTTGGGTCTGTGCGCTGCTGGATGTACTCAGTGGAGTGGCAAAAGAGAGGATTGCCACATGCACATATACTTATTTCGCTCTATAACAAAATCACTTCAAATGAAATCGATGACGTTATATGTGCTGAAATACCCGATGCCAACGTCGATAAGATTTTGCATGACATTGTAACTAAACATGGACCTTGCGATATCCTCGAGCATTAGTATCCAACACAGTTACAGGACACGATAGATATCCTCTATACAGACGAAGGTCAGCAGAGGATGGCAGTCAATTAGCAACCATACATTTGCGCCACGGTGACATTGAGGTAGATAACCGGTGGGTTGTGCCTTATTCACCTTTGCTGCCGAAGACGTACAAAGCGCACATAAACGTGGAATACTGTAACTCCGTTAAATCCATCAAATACATTTGTAAATATGTAAATAAAGGCAGCGACATGGCAGTTTTTGGCCTGCAGCCAGACAGAGGTGATAGGTCTGCGGTCACAAGTATCGATGAAATCGCACAGTATCAGGCTGGCAGATACATAAGCAGCAATGAGGCTGTATGGAGAATTCTATCATATATCATACATGAGCGAAGTCCACCTGTTGTTCACTTAGCAGTACATCTTGAAAATGGACAACGCGTCTATTTCACAGCTGCCAATGTGCACCAAATAGCCCTGAATCCACCAGCTACAACGTTAACTGCTTTCTTCACGTTATGTTAAAGTGACGTTTTTGCAATCAAACTTCTGTATTCTGACGTGCCTACATATTACACATGGAATAAGAGTAGAAAATCATTTCAACAACGCAAACAAGGAGAGCCAGTCAACGGACATCCTGGCATATTCAGAGAGACTACGATAGGCAGACTGTACACTGTGCATCCAAATCAAGATGAATGCTTCTTTCTTCGCATGCTGTTGGTAAATGTACCCGGTCCGACGTCTTTCCAGAAGTTGAGAATTGTCAATGGTGTTACACATGCCACTTTTCGCAGTGCATGTCAGGCTCTTAATTTATTGGAGAACGACCATCACTGGGATGTATGCATGAGTGACGCATGCAACACATCACATCCACATCAAATTCATGCTTTGTATGCAATCATATCCGTCACCTCCAACAGAGTTATGGGATAGGTACAAGTCACACATGGCTGAGGATATTCTCCGTCGAGTACGCAATGATACATCAATTATGACCATGGATTTCAATGCAAATATCTACAACAAGGCATTGATACTGATTGAGGATTTGTGCTTAGACATCGCGAACAAAGTTCTCAGTCAGTTGGGATTGCCATCACCGAATCGATCTCCTGCTGCTTTGTTCAATGTAGACTTGCGTCGTGAGGAGCAGTACAACACAGTTGATCTTTTGTCATAAGTGCAGTCACATATTCCTAGGCTAACTATTGAGCAGCGAGGCATTTATGATCACATAATGCATACCGTTTATAACAGGGTTGGAGATATCGTCTTCTTAGATGCACCAGAACGAACTGGTAAGACTTTCCTTATCAGATTGATTCTGGCATCAGTTCGATCCCAACATAAGCTAGCCTTAGCTCTTGCAACATCCGGAATAGCTGCGACACAACTACCAGGTGGACGAACTGCTCATTCCGCTTTAAGACTGCCACTGAACATGCACTTCATTGACGCTCCAAGATATTGCAAAATTACACGCTTATTGTATGGGATGAATGCACGATGGCGCACAAGAAATCACTAGAGGCTCTAGATCGATCACTGCAAGATCTGCGTGGAGATATGAGACCATTTGGAAACGCTTAATACTTCTTGCAGGAGATTTCAGGCAGACATTGCCTGTCATTCCAAGATCAACACCAGCTGATGAGATCAATGCTTGCCTGAAATACTCTACTTTATGGAGACAGGTTAAGACATTAAACTTAACAACAAATATGCGTGTGCGGCTGCATAACGATCCCTCAGCTGAGTTATTCTCACATCACCTGCTGAACATTGGGAACGGGACAGTGCCAGTTGATCGTACATCAGGACGCATTTCATTTCCTGATAACTTCTGCATTTTAGTGACGTCAACTGATGAGTTGGTTGACAGAGTATTTCCCACTATTGACACCAATTGTAGGTCTCACGATTGGCTGAGTGAGCGAGCTATTCTTGCAGCCAGGAACAAAGACGTCTACGAACTTAATAGTATTATTCTGTCTAAGATTCCAGGCAAGGCAGTCACATACAAGTCGGTCGACACTGTTGTGGAGGCCGATGAAGCTGTTAATAATCCAATAGAGTTTTTAAATTCACTCGATCTGCCAGGGATACCACCACACATACTGCACTTGAAGATCGGCGTACCAATTATCATGTTGCGAAACATCAACCAGCCAAAGCTTTGCAGCGGCACGCGGCTTTCTGTAAAATGCCTACTAAGCACCATCATAGAAGCTACAATTTTGACGGGACCTTTCATGGGTGAAGATGTCCTCATTCCCTGCATTCCTATGTTTCCATCGGATATACCATTTCAGTTTAAGAGATTGCAGTTTCCTATTCGATTGGCTTTTGCAATCACTATTAACAAGGCTCAGGGCCAATCTTTAGAGTTGTGTGGTGTAGATCTACACACTGATTGTTTCTCACATGGACAGTTATATGTCGCATGAACTACAAAGAATATTGTATACCCACAAGTATTACGACATCAAATATATTAGACACGTACGCTTTATCTTTACTTTGTTTTTCATTTCACCATTCTGCGCCACAGCAACGCGTGGCCAGGTACAGCTGGTTTGTGTTATAATATAATAATTATGGATATAGACATTTGGCAACTTCAAATTTTCAAAAGTTTAAAGTTTAATGTGACCTTGTGTGATCAGGAGGCTTTAATCAGCACTGAGAAAATAAGGAAAATCCGGCAGCTTAAAGACTGGCAACTGTAACTCTGAATATGACTCTGATGTGGCAGGAGATTGCATACTTTCTAGATCTTGAAGATCCTTGAAGGGGGTCAACAATAAACCACAGCCAGAGCCCCTGATCAGGTTGCAAGATAATGGCAACAACTACAAATAAACTGTCTTTTCTTCTCACACTTATACAATTCAAGCCAACACTTACTTGTCCAATGTGTCACCATCGACTGTGTTGTTATCCAAGGCAGCAAAAATGGCAGACACTAGTTGGCAGCTCTGTTGCCAGTTGATTTCATGTCCATAGCTAGTCTCGTAGTAATGCTGCAACAATGAGAGGAGTCATAATACACCAGATATCCTCAAACTTAATCCAATAAATGTCACCACAGTCAAGACCACGACATGCACCTGTCTGTAACAATAGAAAGTTACACCTGTGTTCTGTACCTCAGGGACAGCCAACACGTAACAGGTTGAGGAGTTACACACGTGATTGTCTTGTACATGTAACATATGGTATCTAACAGGTTGAGGAATTACATGTGTGTTCTGTACCTCGGGGATCTTCTTGTACATGTCACAGGTGGAAAGGTTCTCAGACAACAGTTTCTTGTGTAACACCAAAGATGGTAGTGTGTGTACTTTCAGATATAGGAGACCATGACAGTGTCAGGTCCTACCTGTCCAACTATCAGATATGGGAGACCATGACAGTGTTAGGTCCTACTTGTCCAACTATCAGATATGGGAGACCATGACAGTGTCTGGTCCTGTCCAACTATCAGATATGGGAGACCATGACAGTGTCTGGTCCTACCTGTCCAACTATCAGATATGGGAGACCATGACAGTGTCTGGTCCTACCTGTCCAACTATCAGATATGGGAGACCATGACAGTGTCAGGTCCTACCTGTCCAACTATCAGATATGGGAGACCATGACAGTGTCAGGTCCTACCTGTCCAACTATCAGATATGGGAGACCATGACAGTGTCTGGTCCTACCTGTCCAACTATCAGATATGGGAGACCATGACAGTGTCTGGTCCTACCTGTCCAACTATCAGATATGGGAGACCATGACAGTGTCAGGTCCTACCTGTCCAACAATCAGATATGTGAGACCATGACAGTGCCCGGTCCTAATTGCCCAACTATCAGATATGTAAAACCATGACAGTGTCTGGGCCTGTCCAACTATCAGATATGTGAAACCATGATAGTGTCTGGTCCTTTCCAACTATCAGATATGTGAAACCATGACAGTGTCAGGGCCTGTCCAACTATTAGAAATGGGAGACCATGACAGTGTCTGGTCCTGTCCAACTTTAAGATATGAGAGACCATGACAGTGTTAGGTCCTACTTGTCCAACTATCAGATATGGGAGACCATGACAGTGTCTGGTCCTACTTGTCCAACTATCAGATATGGGAGACCATGACAGTGTCAGGTCCTACTTGTCCAACTATCAGATATGGAAGACCATGACAGTGTCTGGTCCTACTTGTCCAACTATTAGAAATGGGAGACCATGACAGTGTCTGGTCCTACTTGTCCAACTATCAGATATGGAAGACCATGACAGTGTCTGGTCCTACTTGTCCAACTATTAGAAATGGGAGACCATGACAGTGTCTGGTCCTACTTGTCCAACTATCAGATATGGGAGACCATGACAGTGTCAGGTCCTACTTGTCCAACTATTAGAAATGGGAGACCATGACAGTGTCAGGTCCTACTTGTCTATTAGAACTATTAGAAATGGGAGACCATGACAGTGTCTGGTCCTGTCCAACTTTCAGATATGGGAGACCATGACAGTGTCAGGTCCTACTTGTCCAACTATCAGATATGGGAGACCATGACAGTGTCTGGTCCTACTTGTCCAACTATCAGATATGGGAGACCATAACAGTGTCAGGTCCTACTTGTCCAACTATCAGATATGGGAGACCATGACAGTGTCAGGTCCTACTTGTCTATTAGAACTATTAGAAATGGGAGACCATGACAGTGTCTGGTCATGTCCAACTTTCAGATATGGGAGACCATGACAGTGTCTGGTCCTGTCCAACTATCAGATATTGGAGACCATGAAAGTGTCTGGTCCTGTCTAACAATCATATATGGGAAACCATGACAGTAGAGATGTTGCAGATCTTAGTTGTATGCTGTAGAAAAGTTTGATATTTTAACAATGGGACAGTAAGACAACTGTCTCAACAACAGAACAACAGTAAAAAAAAACTCTCAGCAGAATGACAGCAGTACAGTAAGACAACTGTTTCAACAACATGACAGCAGTAAGTACAGTAAACAATTGTCTCAACAAAATGAAAGCTCTTAGGATGGTAAGGCAGCTGTCTCAACAACATGACAACTGTCAGGATACTAAAACAACTATCTCAGCAAACAAACATGACAGCTGTGATAATAGTTAGACAACTATCTCAACAACAGTCAGGACATTAAGACAACTGTTTGAACAATATGCCATAAATCAGGACAGTGAAAATGTCTCAACAACTCAACAGCAGTCAGGCAGTTATAAAGACATATGTCGCAACAACACAACAACAGTCAGGACAGTAATAAAGACACCTGTCTCAACAACAGTCAGGCAGCAATAAAGACATCTGTCTCAACAACAGTCAGGACAGTAATAAAGACATCTGTCTCAACAACAGTCAGGACAGTAATAAAGACACCTGTCTCAACAACAGTCAGGCAGCAATAAAGACATCTGTCTCAACAATACAACAGCAGTCAAGCAACTATAAAGACATCTGTCTCAACATTACAACAGCAGTCAAGCGGTAATAAAGACATCTGTCTCAACAATACAACAGCAATCAAGCAGTAATAAAGACATCTGTCGCAACAACAGTCAGGACAGTAATAAAGACATCTGTCTCAACAACAGTCAGGCAGCAATAAAGACATCTGTCTCAACAACAGTCAGGCAGTAATAAAGACACCTGTCTCAGATTACAGAGACTTGTACTGTCTCTACAACCAGACACTAACCTCCAAGTCTTCCCCATATTCCATAATCTTCATGTCACACCTGTCCAGCAAGGAGCACCAGGGGGACCAGCCAAAGAAAGCCACATCATAGCCACAGAAAGTGTTGACACGTTGCACATCATCTAGCAAACAAACCGGCTCTTATACAACATTTGTCATGGAAGGTTTCACCTGATAGCAAACACTTAAACTTGTTAATTCTCCTCTTCTTTCGGTGTTCTATCATGTGTGTGTGTGTGATCTTAATTTTCTCCAATCCAATTAAATGTAAGCATCACAAGTTGGGTTGGGGTGGGGAGGGTTGACAAAGGTTACTAGATGTAGCTTTCATAATCCCATTTATTTACTGCCTGTCCCTAATAATCACTGGAATCACATCTTTAAGACCGTACAAGCAAAGGCTCCAGGCTGAACAAACATAGGCTCTAAATTGAAGAAGTGTATACGACCAAACAAGTGTAGGCTCTAGACCTTAAATGTGTAGGCTCAAGACTGAACAAATGTAGGCTCAAGGCTGAACAAATGTAGGCTCAAGACTGAACAAATGTAGGCTCAAGACTGAACAAATGTAGGTTCAAGACTGAACAAATGTAAGCTCAAAACTGCACAAATGTAGATAATATAAAAATTATGGATGACTCAGTCAGAAGCTATAATCAGACAAGTATATACCCTGAAGTACACTGGGCGAGTAGAAGAGTCTGTCAGAGTGCCAGATAAAAAGTCAGACATTTGCAAGGTGCTGACAATGTGTTCCAATGGGCTGGAACAGGCCAGCAAACAATGGGGTAGGCAGAAATTCAAGCTGGTTCATGACAAAACCCATCTGGGTGATGTGATTATCTATATAGTTAGATCTGCATTCACAGTCTCAATAGGTGAAAGGGAGTTCATAGATTCAGTGTACAGACATATAGCACAAGAAAACTTAAATATATACAACATCTAGCTTAGGGGGGGGGGGGGGGGGGGGGGGGGGGGGTCACATATACTGGAAGCATCTTTGGATATTTCCTCTACATCATACCAGTGTGTTGGGAAACAAATAGACTGACTCACTGGCAATACTGCATTTCTTGATGGTGAACTAATGCACGACAAGGCTGATGTTATTTTAGCTATTCTTATTTGTGTTCCCTGTTTCAGATGTCCACCTGAATAAACTCTGAGACCACAAGAACAGTGTGAAAGACTAACTAACCAGATGCTCATGGTCTGCAAAGAATGATGCAATGAAGAGTAACAAAAGAATGATGCAATGGAAAGTGACAAGAGAATGATGCAATAGAGAGTGGCAAGTGGATCTGGTCTTCATTGGCCACACAGAGAAAATGTGCAACATACATCTAATTAGACCCTAAATGGCATCCCTGGTACTGGAACTCTGTACTGACTGCTAAAGGTGGGGACAGAGCACTTATGTAAATGTACTGACTACTGTAGTGTCAGTTTTATTCAACTCCTTTGATCTCATCATCAGATTGGTCAGTCAAAGATTGGTGCTGAAATTATCTGATCTTGTGCCCTGACAGTCAAATATTCTCATTATCATTGGGAGTTCAGTCTGGTGTTGAAGTCATCAGCCTTGACACTGTCCAGTTCCCTCTCGTTCTGAATGAGTTTTAGCCCTAATGTTCTAGCATGAGTCAGATGTTATTGTTTCTCTGACACTTTTCTTGCGTGTTTTGTCTTTATAGTGGCTACTGACGCAATACAGTACAGGATTTCAAAACTGAGTCCACTGGTTAAAACTTTCCAAATACGCCTTGACATAATAGTTGAAGCAACTTTTACAAGAAGTAACATTGAACTGGAATCTGTAATGTATCATACTAAAGTCTATTACAATAGGTGCTTTTGACAGCAATGGAACAGCTATGGTGCACCATACTATTGATGAATAATACTGAAGTTTTTTCCCCATCAGATCTGCAAGATAATAACTTCCCACATTAACCTGAAAAAAGATGTCTAGCCAGATGTTTTTTTTTATTTTATAGGAATTAACAGTGGATACTTATCTGGGGAAAGGGTGGAATATTGGCTCTCCTTTGAATCAACCCCCAAAATGGCGACATGCCACATTCTGGTCCTAAAATATCAAAAAATATCCTAATGTGGGTCAGTTCTATTAAAAATATATGTGGCGGCTCCGGATAACGAAACAAATGCTCTGACAGGGTCTCGGCGGTACGTTACTTGCCGACCTGCTTCTGCGAGTGTGCCTCACCGCCGAGCATATCCCCCGCACCGATGGGGACTAAACTAGATGGCTGTGACTCACGAGCAGCAGCTACCGCATCTCCTGCAACTTCCTCCAATTACTTTACTCGTGAGTCCCAGCCATCTAGTTTAGTCCCCATCCGCGCCGCGCGTAGTGGTGCGGGGGATACGCTCGGCGGTGAGGCACACTCGCAGAAGCAGGTCAACAAGTAACGTATTGCCAAGACCATGTCAGAGCATTTGTTTCGTTATCCGGAACCGGCACATATTTTTAAAAGAACTGACCCGCATTTGGATATTTTTAGATATTTTATGGCAAGGAATTGGCCAATTTAGCTCTCTTTCAAACGCCATCATATTAAAGTTGCCATTTTGGAGGTTGATTCAAAGGAGAACCAGAATATTTAATGGTTCACTTTAATTATCTTTTAGAATGACAATGGACATCTCTAGACACATCCACCTTCAGTATTATTATCTTAAAAAGATCAGCTTCAGGCAGGATTATCATGAAAAAACAACAGTACAATGTTCTTCTTCTTTGTGTTCACCAGCTGTACACTCTGGCGTAAAGTTCTGGTTGTTCGTCCACTACTGAACTGCAGTCATGCTCCAGAACCTGAGTGTTGCATGTGCATCAGTTTTACAGATCTGATTCAATTGAATGCAGACTGCTGGTTCCTTGCCTCTCAGGCAGATGCACTCCGACTTCAAAGGAAGCTCCCCAGTTAGTCGACTCTTACGACATGCTTTTGGGGAGGCAGTGGGTCTATTCTTGTTTTCCCCACAATAGGGCCCCGGAACCCACACAGGGGACAATGTTCTAATTAGGTATGTGTGCTTTCCTAAAATAAACTGAATTTATTTTTAGTAGGTGAGTAGGTCAAATAATTAATAGCAGCGCCTGTCAAGTTGTTGAAGCGGATGTGACGCCACGAACATTGCAATGTTGATTACAGTTTACAGGTCGGCTAGAGCTAGTTAGCAGTAATTTATAGTCTAACTTTCTTTTTCTTCTTCTTCTTCACTTCCTCTTTTACCGCTGTGGGTGTCAGTCTAACAATTTATGTAAATACGAACCTGAGGTGAGTACTTCAGAACTTATGTTTAATTTCCTTTCAATTTTCTCTTTTATTCTGAGTACTCTGTTACTGGATAAGAAGTCGTCGTATTCCTTGGGGGCCGTCTTGTTGTCTTTCACACTGGTGACATACCTGTCACAATCATCGTAGAAACGCAACAACTGATTGTTGACTTCCGCGTTGACCCCACTCCCGTTGTGCTCGCCTCCATAGACGATGCTACTCAATCCTTCGTAGAAAGCCACAGCGCTGTCTTTGGTCCTGTTATGGCTGGTGACGAGAAACTTTAAGCCACTGTCTGTGTTGTCTTTACCAGCAAACAGAGATCGCAGTTTTGTGCCGGTTCTTTGGCCCAGTCCTCTTTGTTCTGTTTCTCCGAGAGGTGTTAAAGCTTGGTCGTTGTTATTGGGAAATCTGTTAACCCAGCTGCGCAACTCTCGGTTGGTGTTGGGTCCCATGGCGGCGACAAGTCTGCGGTGCAGGTCAGATATTCCCGTAACCTCCTTTAAACTGGGATTCCTGGCTCCATGTCGGTTGAGTGCGCTAACATACTTGGCCCTACAGGTCTTTCCCTTGACACCTTTCAGGTAATACAGCTCGTCCTCTACCGGTTTTGGTGCCGGGTGTGCCCATTCGTATAGAGTTTTCGTTGAAAAATACTTGTAAGGTGGCGTTGTTGATGATACACTGAATGAAAACAAATCCACATAAATGAGGAAGAATAAGAGGGTAGCAACGACGCGAAGTTTCAAGCCGGCTGCCATCTTGACTTCTGCAACTTTCTAACCAATCATTGCTCGCCTAAGCTAGGGAAACACCCGAGGCCACCAGAGCAGTCGCACGTGTGCGCTCAGGTGAGTCATGTCCCACAACAAAGCTACAGTGCCGAGAATCGAACCTGTCACCCCCATATGGCGTGTGCGCCTTGCTGAGGAAACAAGTGTTCAAATATACATGACCAACTTATTTCTTCATAGTCCTTGTTACTTTCAGTCCTCGTTGCAACGCTATAGTAACGTCGTCTCAACGTTCTTTAATAATAAAAAAATTTATTGATTAGCACAAAGAAAAAAGTAGAAAGATAGAAGGTACAGCGCTCTTTTCTTTGACATAATAACTGTTGACATGAGTGGTTGTCTATATATTTATCTTCATTAATCGTCTTTCTTGATTTCATCCCACTTAATATTTTTTTTAATTTCTCAGGAATTTGTTTTCTCCTTCTTCTTAGCGTACAAATCTATGTACATGGACCACAGAACCATTTAATATAGTCCCGGGACTTCCCCAGGGTTCTGCAATTTCACCAGTGCTCTTTAATGTGTATACAAGCAAGATTGCAGAACTTGAAGCACCAGGTGTTGGAAGAATATTGACATTTGCTGATGATGTTTTTTTCCATATAGGCAGGGGAGTGAATGACAACGGATAGCCCAAGAGCTGCAGGCACCTGTAGACAAACTGACTAACTGGTGTGCAGAAATGGAGGCTGTCATCAACTAAGAAAAGGCGGCTGTTTTCTGGTGCTTTCTGGACAATAGAATTGTAACATCTAATATTTCAAACCTCACAATTAATAACAGGAACATCAAAAGAGAAAGCAAAGTGGGGTATCTGGGTATCACTTTCTATAGAAGCCTATCCTATCTAATAGGGATGACGTGGAGGTAGTTGCAGTGAAATAGCAAAAAGGGCTTAATGCTCCCAAGATTATGGCAGCAATGGACATGGAACAAAGAATGTTGTTCACAATGTTCCAGCATGTGATCCTGTCGGTGATAGATTAGGGACTTGGCATGCTTACCATATCAAAGAGTCAGCTGATGAAACGAACGCATACAGAATGAAGCATTGCGGGTGATTCTGGGATGCACAAGAGATACCCCAGTTCTATGTATGCGATACATGCACTGCCTACAGGCTCAAAGTTCTGCAGGCAATCAAAGTCATATCTCAGAACAGCTGCAGACAAGAAGCACCTTCTGCAGGAAGCCCTGGTAGACCTAAGGGTCACAGACTGAAAAGAGGAAGGTCTTGGATAAAGAAAAGCTGAAGACATAATTGGACATGTGTGCGGGCTTGATAAATTTGAGCGAGGAGAGGAGTGGGTCAAGGTGTCCGAAGTTTTAGACTTGACATCATCATCAGGTGCCTTGCCGACTGGCGTGGGCCATCATGCCTTGCATAAACGCGATCTCCTGCAGCA